CACCAACACAATCACCATCACCAACACCAACACTATCACCATCACCAACACCACCACCACCACCACCACCACCAACACCAACAACACCACTAACACCATCATCAACACCAACAACACCACCACCATCACCATCACCACCAACAACACCAACAACACCAACAACAACAACACCACCACCAACACCATCACCATCACCATCATCACCACCAACACCAACAACACCACCAACAACACCACCACCATCACCAACACCAATACCATCACCAACACCAACACCACCACCAACACCACCACCAACACCAACACCACCACCATCACCAACAACACCACCAACACCATCACCATCACCAATACCATCACCATCACCATTATCACCACCACCAACACCAACAACACCACCATCACCAACACCAACAACACCACCAACACCATCACCAACACCAACACCATCACCATCACCACCACCACCAACAACACCACCAACACCATCACCAACACCATCACCACCACCACCACCATCACCAACAACACCACCAACACCATCACTAACACCATCACCATCACCATCACCACCACCACCATCACCAACAACACCACCAACACCATCACCAACACCATCACCATCACCATTATCACCACCACCAACACCAACAACACCACCATCACCAACACCACCACCAACACCAACACCATCACCATCACCATCACCACCACCACCACCACCAACACCAACAACACCACCAACACCATCACCAACACCACCACCATCACCCCCACCACCAACACCATCATAACCCTCCACCAACCCTAACCACCACCACATCCACTGTGTGCTTCCACTCTGCTGTAGCTGCTTTCTCTCTCCAGGGCTGCAGACCTCATTAGGAGGTTTAATCAGCGGTCTGGGACACACCTGGTCCCGGTGAATAAATCCAGAGAAGCAGCCAGTTCAGCTTGAAGCTCCTCACTCTGCAACACCTTTATTTGTGTCTTTATTTTGCTTTTGTTTGTGTTTACAGCACAACATCTCCTCCCTGCACCACCACTGCAGCCAGTAAACCTTTAACCAATCCCAAATCTCTGCAACCGTCCTGGAGGTCAAAGCTAGTTCTTTAATCGGATCTCATTTGTTTTTGAATAAGAAAATAATAAAATCAAATTAGATTTTAAAAAAATGAAAGTTTCTCTGAGATTATCTTCCTCAGAGCGTGGGAGCCTTTAGATAATCACTTATGGAAATGAAATGTACATATAACAGATCATTTTACAATCAAAACAATAAAGCTGAGATTCTCCAAACTTGTTTCTGGAGACCGGTGAGATGGAGGATGCGGTCCGACCTCTAGAGTCTCCCCTCATTCAGGCTTTTATTGTGACACAGCTGGAGGAAGTGTTATGACTAAAACATATGAAATAAAAATCACAAAATCTGACGGAAATAATAACGCAAACCGATAAAAGCAACTGATTATTAGTTTGGTGTTAAATATTAAAGTGTTTGATTATGTTAAAGAGTGTAAATCTTCCTGCCTTCAGCCTCTCAGTGAGACCCGCCAATAAAAAATGAAAGAAAGAGGTCAACTCCTGTTTTCCCTTTAAATATTCACACTGACGATTGAGCGCACACACACGTTTAAAATTCATCGGCCGACCATTTAGATTCAGGTCATTAGTTGCCCGAAATGTGCATCTCAATATGTGGGCCAACAGTTATTAAGAGTTTTTTTGACGGCTGAACGACTGAATAATTCATTTTTTGTTGGAGGCACATTATTTATTTATTAATCAGCCTTAAATTTGGTCTCAGATCAGATTATCCGGCTGCTTTCCAACACCTTTTCCGCCTGCTTTTGACTCCCCCCCCTCTTTCTGTCAGCGAGGATTTCAGGTCGGAGCGTCGACATCAGCTGCTCATTATTTGTTCCATTGATTTTTGCAAATGGTGTTTCCCCAAAATATCAGCCGCCCATTACGCAGCATGAATTATAGATGGCAGACGAGCTGCTGGGAAACAAAAGGCGGGACGTCCACGCCGCTCCCAGTTTGGGTCGTCCACTTCTAAAATACTTCCTTTTTCTGACCCTTTCACAGTAAAACAAAGTTTTCAGGAATCCTGCCGGTCGAACCTGAATGACCTCGTCGCTGTAAGGAAGTGAAAGTGTTGCATCATGTTTCCAACAAACTCCAGAAAAAAGGCCTTTAGCGAAATCTCTGCATAATTTAGCAGATTATAAAGTTTTTCCTTCCACTAATGTGTAAATAGTCATCCAGTTTTCTTGCAGGAAGCAGATAATGAGAGTGAATGAACTCAACAAACACACTTAACAGAAATCTCCTGCAGCGATTGAACTTACACAAATCTACAAAGAGAAATGTGGAAACGGACTTTATGAGACGTGTCACTTCTGAACTGTATTTCATAATTGTTACACCACGCTGAGATCCAGAGACGCTTTTCAAATGTTTGTCGACAGATTTTATCTTCAACTTTGTCTCTGTC